TTTTACGAGTCTATCTGGTGATAAAACCTCTCGATCCATAAACATGCCAAGTTCCGCAATTTGATAAGTCAACAAACTTGGGCTTAGAAACGGTGGCGATTTTGGGGCTTTTCGCCCACAATGGCAAATTGTGGCTTTTTGTGGGTTATTGTAACAGGTGTTTGACCCGCGTAGCCTTAATTCGCAAGCAATGAGATTGACCGGGTGTGTTTATTGGATTCAGTGGGCGTCTTGAACTAACTCTTGGTTTGCCATCGTGTTAAAAACAAGATACAGTTACTATGGGTCATAAGATGACTTTATGGGGCAGTTATCACTTTTTATTTGCTATATTCTTTATTGTAATGTTTCTGGAATTTCCAGGTTTACGGAAAACGGGGAAAAAATTCATGAAAGCTACAGCACGCTTACGTTTCGAAATTCACCAATAGGACTTTATATCTGTTGCAATTTTACTATCGATGGATAAGTTATTATCATATGTCGATAATTCCTGAAACCAATAATCCTGTCGACGTTAAACCTACATCTGCAATTCAAGTGATGTCGGTGGTCGGTTCTTTATGGCGAAGCAATAGCAAATAAAACGATTGAAAGACTAAAATTTATTTACCTAAAGTATGTAAATGTCGAGAGCAATTTGAAAACATCTATTGTGGAATTGAATCCTAAAATGGTTAAGACAGTATTAATAATAGTATTTTCCATTCTTGAATTGCCCTTTTTCTTCTTTGGGTTATTTCAATATTTTGCTCTGCTTCATCTACCTTTAAACCTTGATAAAGCATCGTAAACTTTTAATTCGAAATTGAAAAACAAAAAGAATCTACAGAATAGAACACTTTTCTTGATCTGAAATAGTATATTTTTTTTTAAATATACATATTCGTCAAAAAAAAATAAATAAAAAAATTGAAATGATGTAGTGGCGGGTTTAAACTTTTTGGGGTCCTAGCACGATCCAAGATCTGAAATTTTTGTCAAGTTACAAATTTTATTTCGTATCAAAAACCTATATAAGTATTTGTCAATAGAGGAAAAAAAAGCTTTAAGCCCGGATATTTCTGTTAAAAGGACCACCAATAGCAAAAACACTTGTTTCTGATGCCCACACATCAAATGGTTATGTGCTTTGATCAAAATTAATTCAAATTGGACTGTTATTAATGGAAGAATGGAATGACCTAATAGACTATTAATTTGATAACTTTTCGATTTACATGAGTTATTTATCAATTTTGCTCAATAACTATTTATAATCATCTAGTTTAAAAGCTTTTATGAAAATTTGATGTTTATATAACACAAATTAACAATTCAGGCTTAAAAGCTGAGATTTTCATATTATCTAGTTTAGTGTTATTGCACGAGAACATTTTTTTAAAGTCCATATGACAGTTATTAATAAAGTATCCTAATCTAAATTGCAATTCAAAACCTCGGTCATAGGAATTTCCTAAAAAAACTGATAATAACGATGGATATAAAATGTGTGATGAATTGACATGTCACAACTGCTTTTTTAGCAAATCCATTCTTATGTGGCAATTATTGCAGCTAAATCATTAAGATCTATATCGTGGCGGATAATCTGTGTATTGCAAGATTATTCTCATGTTTAAATCATGTTCTAACCATTACTTTGCACAATTCATTCATAGTGCAAATTCATTGAAGAAATAAAATAAAAATTCACTCTCTATAAGAATTAACGCTGTTCTGCACGCAGCGCCACAAATTAAATGGGAATATTTAAACTCTTTTATTTATTACCAAAACTTGAACCGTAGAATTTTAATGCGGGCTGAAATTTTTACAATTTGCAAACAAAATTCGTATTTTTTGAAGCTTTTTAGTAGCAAATTTTTCGATGTTCACTTTAGTTAGACAAATCTAAGAATTTATTAATTTTTTTATGAGAGATAAAGCAGGTTGATGCAGACTGAAATATTGCACACGTCTGCAAACATGTTCGATTAAAATGAGCGTTCTTGTGACTATAAATTAGCATAAATTGAGTGGACTTTGGTGTGACTCTTGACTAAATTCCAAGCTTCGTTTGGAATGCCAACAGTGTCAAACTAGAAACATAAAATGCAAAAATTTGCCATTTTTATTATAATTAGCGGAAGCGATTTGGGTAAAAAACCGGGAGACTGTCGTTTTAATCGGTAAGATTCTTCAAAGCAATGCAACTCGCAGACAGGTTTATAGTCGCAATTTCATGATATACAACTTAAATACGCAATAATTTTATTTGAGCTTCTTAATTCCTCTCCACATTAATTCTACTCGAATTTCTTATCCGCTAGTAAACAGGCTTTTTCTATGTTGTACTCGTACCTCATTCGCGACTTCGTAATTTATGAAAATTTAAGGTGTATTTTAATTTCCATGTGATAAATTTATCGGTTTTTTAATCCGGTTTTATGTGGCTGTTGACATCGGAAACGAAATTCTTTGACACGTCGTCAGGGATGAACCAGTTTTTGGTCAAAACGAACGAAATTATTTTTGCACACTTGGTTCCATCATTACTCCCAATTACATTAAGATTCTCCCGGGTTCTTGTGGTCTTTTTAGGAACCACCAAAGAATTTCAAGCAGGTATAATAAGACAGCAACAAGTTCTCCGAATCGCAAATAACAAGGGGAAGGATATACTGGCGTTTTTACAGTTAGTTGGTCCATAAGTCATTGTGTACAAAAATCGTATTTGTTTTTTATTACATCTCGATTGACATAGCGGCTGTTGCATTGCAAGAAACAATTCAATTTTTCGATGGTACCGTCACGTGCTGCAGATGAACCTTTAACGGTACCGTGGTATATATTTCGCATATGCGCAAATAACAAGACAAATCAAGATCAGAGTGTGCTTTGAATCCGACACGTGACAGTTGAATAACCGGAGTATTGCCATCTAGTGAGCCGTGACCCGAACTTGGCCGCAGTAGTCTACGACCTTGCGAGTTCTTCAGGATATCGCAATGCAAGGCTGCAGTAAAAGTTTAATTATTTATTGCAGCTATTTGTAAAGACTATGTTTTTAGAGGGGAATTTTAATGATTATTTTGCAAAGAACGGAGGGTTCCTATTCACTGGTTTTATCGAGCGTACCATCAAACCTCATACCCTAGACCTATCCTTTTTAAGGCTGTGTGGCCTTGCGTGCGACCGAAGGAATTAATCACATGTAATGGTGGCGAACTGTTTTTAAATAAGTGAAATAGCGATACCAAACAGACCAGATTGATTGAGCATTCGGACTATTTCTTACCCAAGAATGCGAATATTTGAAACTTTAATTTGTCCACAACCTGTGGCATTTTGCACAAAGAAGTAAATTTGTTCACAAACTGTGACATTTTTGCACCAAGATGTGTATTTTCCACGACTTCAGTTCGAGGATATTGTTTATTTTTACAAATCGATAATTTTTTTAAATTACTGTGGAACTTTATTTTGTAACAAAATTTTTTAGTCTTATTTTGGTCTTGATTTTAATTTATTTATTTAAATGATTAGGTATGGGGACAACAGTAAATGATGATCTCAACCATGTATTTATTTATTTTTGTGTACCAAAACATATTTTGGTGATATGTTTGTGCACCAACCATATAAGAAAACAACAGTTAGGTAACCTTTATGTGTCCCTCTTTTAGCGTCTTTCTGAGTATAATAGTCGTAAAACAATTAACTCTGGAGTAAATAGAAATTTAAGTTTTAATAAATTTTTCCGAAAATACTCCGTATGTAGTTTGATGTGTTATTTATTGAGAAAAAAGTGGTTGTGGTTCTTAGTAATTAAATCATACTTTGTTTATTTGTTTACTTTTCGTTACTTATTTTAGTTTTATTTAAGGGATATAAAGAAAAAAAATTAGTCCCGATTAGGGATTGAACCTCACATTTAATACTCCAGTTTTTGTTTTGTCGAGAAAAAAATTCTCATTACCTATATTTTCTCAGTTACCCTGATCAAATGTTTTATAACTGTTCATAACCGGGTGAGTATTTAAAAACGCTTTTTATTTATTGTGTCGGAGGTAGAAACAAAAAATGGTGTATTTATAAATTATAAATAATACTTCTAAAAAGCAAGTTATTTAGGTGCGGTTTGGTAAGAAAGATCTTGGTTACCTATAAAAATAAATAGATATATTTTTTATTTCAGTTCAAAATATCGTTTTTATATACGTAGAATAGGTGAAACGACTCATTTTCTTTTGTAATTTTTTTACAATTTTTAAAATCTTTTGTAAAGTGTGTAATTTTTTTATTTATCATAAAAAAACTGTTAAAAATAAAAAAAATTGATTTGTGAAATAATAAACAAAAAATAAATATTTCTTACCTAATAAGTTTTTGTCGTATTTGTTACATAAAAGGCACGTTACTAAAAAATAAGTTTTTTGAAAATTCCCAAGACACTTGATTTTTCAAAACTAAAATTATGTTAGTCTTTAACTAACAGGGTTATTCTTATCTTTTACAAGAGTCGTTTCTTCTAACTCTCCAGGGACACACTGTATAATTTTGTATAATTGTCCGTGTTGAAACGTGGATGTTTCATTTTTATTTATTTGTAATGGATAAATCGATGCTGCTTTTTTAATAATAAGTGAATCGATAAAAGATTAAAAATTTATATTGTACTTACACTTTTAATAAATAAATATTTAAAATCTGTTTAGAGAATCTACTCCACTCAGGTTTTTCTGTTTTTTCTTATTTTTCTGAAGAAATCCTGAAATCCTGAAATTTTCCAATATTCTAAAGGTAACATCACCAATTAGGCCGGCTAATACTAACACGTGATTAAATCTTTACATAACATTTTTTATGATAACAAAACCTGTGCTACCATTTACTGCAAACCCTGAAAACTGAAATTCGTGTTTTCAAGATTGTTCCGGCAACCCTTTAATCACGCGTGTATGCTGTATTGCCTACAATCCCCGATTGTTTTTTGTTTATAACCTGTCATGCGCCTGACGAAAACGTCAAAAACCCAATCGCATTGGCCATTTTAAAACATTTTTCTCCTCAGTTTCAAAATCGTAGTGTAGTTTCTACTCGTATCGTAAAAACCAAATAATGTCCGCAACTAACGTTAAAGAATTCTACGCTCACGATCTTGTATACAAATTCGACGAACGTAAACGAATTGTGTTTGGGGTAGTGAGTGAGAGCTACGAGAGTTCTGATAGTGACGAGAACTGTGCCCTTCAGAAGGGCCAGATCCTCGTTACTTGGAGCAACCCCACCCGAAAACGGATATGCAAACAGAGCAAGGTTCATCTGTTGTGTCGGAGCATCGCCCCGGGGGATATTGTGAGGAGGCTGGAAGACGGGAAGGAGACTCAAAGGGGCTACTGCAAGAAAACGAAACAGTTCGCCACCGTGCAAATCGTGGAAAGCGATAAAGTTATCGAGCACATTCCTGATAGTAGATTATGTTTTGTTAAGCCTTTTCAGGTTGGGGATGCTATTTGTCTGGGGGATAAGTTTGGGAGGATTCAGGTACAATTCATCACCAATTTCGTGTTGAAATGTTTTCTCTTATTTTTTAGAGCATAGACGAGATGATTAGGATGCAATCAAAGTGTGGTTCAGTTGTTGAAGTTAGAAGAAGTATTAATTATAATATTAGGGATTATTGGTTTCATTCCATAAATGGGACCTATCATGAAGCCGAGTATCCTGGACAGACTGTTGTAAGTTGATTTGCTCAATGTTACCAAGTCAGTAATTTCGACAGAAGAAATAGACAAGTTTTTATTGATCTTTTTAAGACATACTAGAGATAACACTTTTTCTACTGCACATTTTTAATCATAAATGTTGAATTTGGTTCAACTGTACATGCTTTTGATACATATTGTTTTTTATCTTTTGGTATTGAGAATCATATTGATGAGGAAAACCTAAATGGAAGAGCCTGTGTAATTCTATTATTGGAAATAGGGTCAGACCGGGGGGATTTGGACCCAGGGGAGCCAGTGAAGATGGTTTCTATCTCTAATTTTGATATTCAGGATAATTATAATCGGGAAGAGAAAGATTAATTCAAATTAAAATCTTTTATTTCTATTTATACAGAGTGTCCCTGCGCCTTGGTTAATTATTGACCTTTAAATATTAAAATTTAAAAAAATTATATAGGCAATTGACAAATACTAATCTAGTGCATCGCCTGAAATTATTTTCAACTGTACAGCGTGTCCTAAAAATAAGTTACAATACAAACTTGTGTTTTTTTTAATGAAACACCATATGTTTTTTGGAATTTTTGGATGTAGCTTTTAATTTCAGTGCTTTTAAGGTAAAGTTCTATTAGTCGATTTTAACTAGGAGTATATTTTTAGTTTTTAATTGTAGTCACTTAAAAGTAAAGGTTTTTGGAAAGATAATTTAATAATCTTTTAGATGCAGAAACTAAAAGTAGGGTGTTCCTTTAATTTTTTAAGTTATTTAACTTTTAGCAAACTTCTTCATTTTTTATCTGTACAAATGCAAGACACAAAAAAATGTTATAATCTCAAAATTTGAACTTTTTTCTTTTTAGTTATAAAAAAAAATGTTTCTAGATGTCTTAGATTTTGTGCAATAAATTTTTCAAGAGTACGTTTTTGTCAAAAAAAAAATATCTCAAAAAGTAAGCAAAATCAGCTATACAGTATTCACGCTGGTGTTGCCGCTAAGCCATAAACCGTACCCCTTGTAAATATTCATAATCACCTTCAAACCGAACGCTCGTGCCTGTTTCATTTGTTGTGAAAATCGAGGGTTTTCGGTACCTACTCAATATGTCTATCCTTGTTTTTCCATGTCACTGTATGTTGTCGGAGTAAGAGAAAGATAGTGACGTAAAACTTTCAAATGAGAAACAGAATTCCAGATCAGTGGAAACAAAAATGTAAAGACTCAAATTTTAAAATTTATTTAAAAATATTTAAAAAATATTCGTTTTATACAATGAAATAATAAAAATACGATACATGGACCTAATATCCTACGGCTAATAATAATTATGTATGAGAATATTTTTCGCATGAAGAAGTGTCGTCACCTAACCCAAATCGAGGGCGAAATGTCTTGGGTGCACTGGTACCTGTCACCCTCGGCTTCGTTATATTGCTTAGCGGCAACACTTACGTGAATACAGAATAATAAAAGTTTAGCTTAAAAACATAGTGCTAAAAAGCTACATCCAAGTATGACAAGAAACGTATGGCGGCGTTTCATTTAAAAAACATAAGTTTCGTTTTGTAACTTATTTTCGGGACAGGCTGTATAGTTGAAAACAATTTCAGGCGATGCTCTAAATTAGTATCTATTAATTTCCTAGACACATTTTTTCAAATTTTAAAATCTAAAGGTCGTCCTATATAAAATGTATTTTTGTGTAAAAACACACTTTGTTGTTTTTAGTTTTGTACACCAATGCATTTGCGAGATCCAAAGTGGATAAAGAAGTCAAAATCGATGATACGTAAAATGGAAATCGGCCAAAAGTTTACCATCCAGAGCATTGAGATTTGTCTCATCGAAGTTTGGTGGTACTCACCAAGTGGCCACACGGAATACGCCGAACTCAAGGAAGACGAAATTAAAAGGTGCCCGAATTGCTTAGTTTTACACACATCCATGTTAGATTTTTGCAGATTGAAGGTCCTGCCTTATTCGGAAAATTTAGTGATGGGCGATCGCTACTTTTTAAAACTAAAACCCACCGACATTTTGCTTAAAAAACGCGACTGGATTAAGAAAAAGTCGCTGCAATCTCTCCCTCACAAAGTGCCTAAATCGGACAATTCGACCTTGACGAATACCTGCGCTGAACCGTTCGACGCCGACGACGACTGGTGTACAGAAGAAGACGAGGAATCGGACAATAAGGGCGAAATTTCCATATATGGGTTACATAAGGTTAAACAGAGGAAAAAACATTATTCGACAATGAACAAATTCTCTTCGGGGTCGATCGTGCCGGTCCAAGTGAGTCACATATGGAAATAAGTTATTTTTCTTGATTTTATCAAGTTTAGGTTTTTTGCGCGGATGCGAAAGCGACAGTTGTGTGGCAGGACGGCACTGAGGAGAAGGATATACCCACAACCGAACTCTATTATTCCGTTTCGCAGGACGATCACGAATTTTTTCCAGGGGAGTGGGTAGTGTCGAATTCGAACGAAAACTGGGACAAGTACGGGGTGGTCCAGAAGGTTAATTTCCAAGAACGGACTGCTGAAGTAAGTCATAAATTGTAATGCTTTATTAAAAAAGAAGCTAAGAAAACATTACTGAATTTAGATTAAATGGTTCACAAGCGTGGATGCGAACCAGGAACCGCAGGAATTAACGACGAACGAGTCAAGCGTCTACGATTTGAAAAAACACGTCAAATTCTTATTCCGTCCAGGTAGTGTAGTTAAAGCCAAACCAACCGTCGAGGACAAGATGGGGAAGGTCATCGATAGTTGCCCCCAAGTACGATTTGATTTCAAGTAAAACACGATTAAATTTTTCGTTTGAAGGGTTATGTAATCGTGGAATGGCTTGGTGGTAAAAAAGAAAACTGTTGGCCTCAAAACATCGAGTTGATACTCGATAGTGAAGATTTTGAATTTCCGGATGCTTTTGACAGTGACGACGATCTTAGTGAAGATGCGTATTCATGGGAAACAGAAAGTGTAGAATCTTTCGATGGCGACGTTACTGATGAGATTAATTTACAAAATATGGCCGCCAGAGTTGATTTTATTAGGAACAGGATTAGTTATCTGAGGGAAGCTTTTAAACATTACAACATTACGCAGAATTTTCATGTTAGTATACTTAAAATCAAAAATTTTTGTACTTATTTGAGTTTTTTTAGTTTCTTAAAGATTTATTGTGCATATATGACAATTCTGGTTATTTAGACAAGTATCTCGGCACGTCGTTTTTTAGCACGGAAAGTAAACATTTTCAGGTAGGGTTTTTCGTACTTTTTTTCCTTGAATTTATTTTTAATTTAGGCTTTACTGCTTGAAACTAAGAAAAAAGCCAAATCACTAGGAATAGAATTGAGGGGTAGGATGTTTTCTCGGGAGAATCTAACTTGTCCTGCTAAAATGAAAAATGCCGAAAAGGATAACATTCAGAAAATGATCAAATTGGAGAGTAAGGTCAATGTGCAAATCGAGATGTGTAAGGAGTGTAGCGGTGAATCGTGTAAGTTAAATTATCCAGAATTTTTGGTATTGGTATACAGGGTGTAATGAAAAGATAAGGACAGAGTAACCTGAGATTCCCCAGGACAAAATAAGGGGATTTAACCCAATTTACCTCTATACCAAGTTGCACCATTTAAAAGTTATAGGGGGCCAAAGATTAAAAATTATTTTCGTTTTTCTTTAATAACTTTTTAATGGATTCATCGATTTTTATAAAATTTGGTACACCAATTTAATATTAAAACCATTTGAGTGCTATTTCATTTATTTTATTATTGTAAAGTACTTAGGGCCAGTTTCATCATTGAATTAAAGGGACTTTAATATTAATGTTGGTTTAGAATGAGTAATCTTTGTCAAGAAACCGGTAGTATTCAGCACATTTAATTTAAAGCTCTTTTAAATTTGATATGAAATTAGACTTATTAACAACTTTACATATTTTAAGTCATATTTTTGTTATACATAATCCGAATGGCGTACTTAATTCATTTTTTATTCCATAGGTACAATATTTCTAAACATCTTATAAAATTTTTGTATTGGCCTTAGTTTTAGAGTAAAAAAATTATTTTAAGTATGTGTGCACGTGGGCCATTTATTATTATTGTTTTTAAAAGTGTATTAAAAAATTGTAGTTTTCAGTGTCTTTATGTATGTTTGTGTTTGTTGAGAATAATCTAATTAATTATTATTTTATTTAAAGAAATAATAATTTATTGGCGTCCTGAAACTTTTAATTGCAACTTGGTGTAGAGGTAAGTTGGGTTAAATCGCTTTATTTTAACCAGAGAAATCTGACGTTACTATTTGCCCCATCTTTTCGCTACACCCTGTATTTGAAATAATGTAATTAAATCGTATTTTAAATTAAAAACTTGTATTTTTTTCAGGTCCGACAACCCCTGATAGCTCCGAGCCGGCCGAAAAACCCCAAGAGAATCTGTGTGTGGAACTCCTCGTGATGCTCAAAATGCGTATGGACTTAATTTACGCGGAAATAATCAGTCGCATAGGCGGCCGTCAAGCTTTAACCGTCCTAACAAACTCATCCGAAAACCCGTTAAAACCGTCGCCAAGTAGTACCACAGCCTTACAAAGCGCACTTTTAACCCCAGAAACGCCACCGAAAGTCGCTAAACCGATCGAACTCATACCCAAAAACGAAACTTTTTCCATACTGGAGGAAGCCCCCGATACTCATCGATATTTCTCGAGTAAATTTGTACCTAAAGACTTGCAAAAATTTTTAGTCGCGCTTCAAAAAGAGTACAAATTGCTTAAAGACTCTCTACCGGCTGGGGTATGGGTTCGGACTTACGACAATCGGACAGATCTCTTATCAGTGATGATACGGGGGCCTGCGAAGACTCCGTACGAGGATGGGTTGTTCCTGTTTGATATTCAATTGAGTCCGGATTACCCCAAGAGCCCCCCGGCTGTGCATTATATAAGTTACATAACCGAGCCCTTGAACCCGAACCTTTACGTCGAGGGTAAAGTCTGTGTGTCTTTGCTAGGAACGTGGATGGGGCGAGGCAGTGAAGTCTGGGGGACTAACAGCACTCTCCTACAACTCATCGTGTCAATTCAGGGACTTATTCTAGTCGCGCAACCGTATTTTAACGAAGCTGGCTACGAAAGACAGACGCACACGCAGCAAGGGTGCGAAAATTCGCGCACTTATAACGAATATGTTATTTTGAAACTGGTACAATCCATGACAGAGTTGCTCAACGCCGCACCTAAAGTATTTCAAAACGAAGTCCTAGCGCATTTTCAAACCAAAGGGGAAAAGATGTGCGAGAGATTGATGAAGTATTGCGACGACGAACCACTAGTACCTGAATTCCCGCTTCTGCCTGTGAGTAAAGGGTTCAAACTGTCCCTAGGATCGGCTTTAAATGGGTTCCGACACGCATTGAAAAAGGCGTTGGAGGGGAGGAATAAAGAGGCGCTTTTGTAACGTTGTTACCTTGTTATACTGTTTCTAAAACCTTGTTGAATAATAAAAAGATTTTGTTATTATTTTTTGTGATATTTTTATGTAGGGTATAGTATTACAGTTGTTTTGTTTAAACATGATTTATTTAGTATTATTTTTGAATACCTATTTGTGATTTTTCTGTGATTGCAATGCTGTTTCTTATTATAGTACCTAATGTAAATTAAGCAATATTGTAATTTTTTACTTATTTATTGTGGAGCATGCTAGTGAGGTCGTTAGGTCAATCAAGAACAAATCAGGAGAATAATTCGAATCTTTCTAGATATTTTCAAGTGCATTTCTAGATATTTAAATAAACGCTTCGTTTCAAATTACTTTGTTTTATTAGCCAATCCTTTTTTTATATCAGAAAAAAAGTAACATTATATTTTGTGAAGTATAAAATTTGTCTAAATAAAAATAAAAATTCAATAAATTAATTAAATTTGACAGCGTTTGGGTCGTAGGGACCACTAAAGGGTGACCCCTCGCAATTCCAGGACCTTTTCAGAATATCTTGCATTTGCAACTCATCAGAAGTGGGCAAACCTAATCTTTTCCGTTCCTGGTTCCACTGTAATTCCTCAATTTTGGCTTGGGCTTCCTCTGATAACTCCTCATAGGGCCTCGAGCAGTCCAACGTGCTTATATCAAGCTTTGGCTCGCTTTTAACCAAACAGTTCCACCAAACTTCCCTGCTTTTATCCAAGTGAATATAAAGCTTGTGCTTCTCTAAAGACCAAATCGCGTCGTTGTGTTTACATTTGTGACACAATTCGCCCTCAAGCATGACTGTACCGTCTTTTAACTTCACTGAAATCTGGTCTGTTGTGATTTTTACTGAGACGTCTTTTGCTGTTGTACTTTCTGGAACCTTAACGATTATATCTATTTCTAGTAGAGTTTGTGACCAGCTGTAGTTTTCATATGTGGCCCCATTGTACGCGTCTGATGTCGTGAATTTGGTATCAGGGGGCTGTTGTACTTTTGGTTTAGACACTGAAGGCGTGTCAGGGGGAGTTGGTGGTTTTTGAACCAGATTCTCGCTATTGGCGATTTTGTCGTTTGGTTTCCACTTGTAAAATATTTGCTTCACTGTTTGCTCTGCTAAACCAGGGGGAAGGCCCACGGGACAGTTTGGATCACTTGCAATATGATAAAAATCAGTTCTGAAACAAAAATTTGAGGTTATGTTTAATTTGTTATTGCTTGTTTGTTACAAGTTTAAATTTTGAAAATAAAGAAAGAATTACCTTCTGTTTAAAAACCCAAATATGTGGTTTAAAAATGTGGGTAAAGTCTTGCACTCTTTCAACATGGAAAAGAGTAAATCGTCATGCTCCGTAGAATCAACCATTTTTCACAATAAAAACCAATAAATATAAAATAAAGTGTTAAAACACGATTTTAAGAGTAAATGTTTGGGAGCGTAAGCGCCTGATATCGACAGCCGCTTTCTGACAGCGAATTTTTTAATTTGGCGCTACATTTTATAGGGCTGCCAACCTCAATTTTTAAATGTGTGTTCAAGAAGAGACACCCTCTAACAAAAAATTGGTAGATCTAAAGGACTCGAAGTGCAAAAAAGCGATTTAATGATTTTATAATCAAGTTTATTTATTTGTGTTCTAGCATGGGAACGTGTGGTACAATGGCGAGCATTAAATTTTGGTAGGAAATGTCATTTTGAAACTTCATCTTTTTGTCAAAAAAAAGTCGTTTCCCTGTGTAATTTTGTCTGTTGTCAAGCTTCTTTCAAAAATGAATATAAAAATGTCAAAACACCACACCAAAAACTAATTAACAAAATATTTTATTGTGTTGCCAGCTTCTAATTAACTTCAACAAAGTGAAAATAATTACCATGCTGGAGGGAGGATGGATTTTTTGAAGTTGAGGTAGCTGATCAGTTGGGGCTCGTAAGAAGTTCCGTCAATTTCAAGACATTTCCGTCAATTTCGAAACATTTTTGAATGAAACTAAAGTCTAAAGTGATTGGTTTCTCCATGGTTACTCAGATATAATGATGGCCGACCTTTAACGGACCAATCACATCATTGCATTAATTTTTGAATGAATCCAAAAATCCAAAAAGTGATTGGTTTTTTACATTAAAATGATGGCCGACCTTAAAACTGCCCAATCACAATGCTTACAAATTTTACACCAATCCTTACGTTAATTCCTTATTTTTTTTAGTCTAATTATAACAAATACAGTGCAAAAGAGATTTTGTACATAGTCATTTTTTTCGTAACACGTGTCTTTGTGTGGATATAAAGAGAAAAATCATAAGATGGCACCTTATTGGTGTCTTCCTGGGCCCCGCTCACTGCGGAGGACCGGGATTTTTGGTATGTTTACCTAGTAAATGATCCTTTTGTTGGCAAATTGTACCATTTTGCTATAAATCACCCGTCTAGTTTGCGTTTAAATAATAAAAGCGATTATTAAGCCAACCAAGTAAAAATTTGTAATTGGCTTGTGATACCACGGATTGATGGACTAGCAGGTAAGTACAGATTTATTTTGTGTAAAAACTTTAAAGAGAACTCATAAAACTCATACGGTCTTATTTATTAATAAAAAAATTAGAAAAACTATTAAATATACCTTTTCAATAATTAGTCAGGTATATCATAAACTTTCGCCAATTTTTTTTTAAAGTGCGCGTAACCGATGCCCGATTCTTTGTATAGCTAGCGATGTATGTACACAACACAACAAAACACCACAAAATATTTTGTTTATTTAAATAAGTTTAAATCAAATTTAATATCATAGTAAATAATTACTTTGATGCGAACTACTTACAATAGCTTTCTGAAAAGTTTTTTTTATTTTCTTATTTTGTTTCTTTTTTCTCGTCACTTTTTGTTCAAACACTTTAATGACCTATACCCACAAAGCTATCAATATAAAGGTCGCAGTTTTATAATATTATCAGTTTTGGAAGATCATTGAATGAAGAAGCATCTCGTTTGTGGACAATGAATTCATTTGTTTGGATTTTACTTCTAGTGAGTGTTGCTACTGCTAGTGCTAGTAACAGTGATAGCGAAGTTTCGCACTCTCATACAGGTGGGATTTTAATAGTTGTCCCTTCTTCTTCTTTAGCTATATTTTTCAAATTTAAATTTTACTTCTTATCACAATTGAAACCCAAACAATTTCTAATTAAAAAAATTGTCAATACGAATTCTTTGAAGTGTTTGACGTATTTCTCTCATGTTAACTCGTGTTCCACATCCCTGATAAAAGGTTATCAAACTTTGTAACCCTCACAAAGAAAGTCATTGATTTAAAATCTAGAATAAATAATCGTATAACTAATGATGTTTTCAGAACATTGCAAAGTGGGCGACACCAAACTCAAAGACTGTAACTTCTGTAAATGCACAAACGGCATATTCGAGTGCACGACTAAGAAATGTCCAGATCGCGAAAAAAGAGGTAAGTACGAAGCGCTTTCTATATTTTTGACTAAGTATTTGTAAATCTAACACACTGTCATCTGCTTTTAGCTTAACAAAACACTTGTAAGAGTATAATTATAACATACAAATACTTAGTAAAGAAGAAGTTGAGTTTCTTACAAGTGTTTTGCAGGTGTGCCTGTGGCCGCTGATTTAAAAAACACCCCTTGTGCGCCTAACGATTACTTCAAGATCGACTGCAACACTTGCTATTGCAATATCGAAAAAACGGGATATCTTTGCACGGAAAACTTGTGTCCTCTCACCGAACCTCCGGCGACAGATACACCGTCTAATAGCACGTTGTCCTTCAACCAAACCACTCCGGTTGAGATGGTGCCTCAACCGGAAACCATTGCATTAAATGAAACCATAACCAAATCAACTGTTACTAATTTTAATACCACTGAATCAATTAATAACTCGGATACTGGCGGTGGTACAACCAGCAGTTTGAATGTCACTCATCTTTAGCTTTAAATAATTATTTTAACCTTAGCCGTAGAGTAGTTCTTAAAAATCAACATTCAGGTCTGATTTTGACTAAATTGTAGATGATTTTTCTTGTACTCCTGGCCAGACGTTCAAGAAGGATTGTAACACGTGTACGTGCACACCGGATGGAAAAAATGCTGTTTGTACGCTGAAAAAGTGTACAGAAGCTGTCGCAAATGCAACAATGCAAAACTGAATTTTTAGAATAGTTTTAAGACTCAGGATGGATTGCAGTGTTGGAATTATTTTTGTATCATATTTATTTATAATTTTATTGTACATTTGTTGCTTATAATTAGTTAATATTTTTTGATGAAATCCAATAAAAAATAAACAAGTAAGGAAACAATTTTTCTGCTTACCTATTTGCTTTAATTTTTTTATTAATAAAAACATAGTGTAGTAGTGTAGTTATAAATATATTATGAAAATTGAATTAGGTACTTAAGGAAAAATCAAATTATCCCCGCTGTGTTCGTAATCATTTTTCTCAGATTCCTTGTCTGCATTAAAATCACCACTTCCACTTCCACTGCCAACAAAATTAGTATCTCCTTCTTTAATTTTTTTATACTCATCTTCGTCATCCACAAATGTTTCTTTTCCTTTGTGTAAGACATTCGATGTAGAACTTGGTCCAAGGGTTGTGGGATTTGTCACAAAATTATTTCTATTACCAGTTTCGTAACGAACTGTCGACATGCCCATTTTTGACTCTTCATGGATTATTTCTTTTCTGTTTTCTGGAGATTTGTCGTTGTTTCGGTGATGATTGTTCAAGTCGAAAGTATGTTTAAACACCTCTTCATGATGGTCTGCACTTTTGAACTTAACATCAACTTCTAAATCAAATTTTGGGAAGTGATGATGAACATTTGTATTCTTTTCTTCTTCATTGCAGTACACGTTTGATGAAATTAAGAACAAAATTAATGATATAAAGCGCATGTTGACACGCCTGGGTTTACATTAATTATAAAAATCAAACTTCCGGTTAAGGTGTTATAATTTGATATGGTCGGAAGTGGTTATTTAAGAGCTTGTGATAAAATTAGTTATTATTTAACAAAATTAAATTTGGCATTTTTTATGTAATTTAAGAATTTAAGACGCCGGTCCATTCATAATCACATCACCTTTTTTGCGAAATTACGAGTATTATTAGATTTTGTTATATAAAATTTAATAACTTAAAAATTTTGAATCTTTTTTTCAGGAAGCTGCGGTGCAATAAGGTCAGGATTGGGTGGGATGCTTCCGTAGTAATTAATTTATTTAGAGTGGGGTAAACGCAATAAGTACACACTTGGACATGTATGCGTAGATGACCAAAACACGTCTAGGAGGAGTCCACTTGAAAAAAGAAGGGAGTTTTTGGAAGCAGTGGCCTGTAGATTTGCTTTATATCATCGCAATATGGCAATGTTTGAGAAGGGACTAAAATAAGCGACACTATTTACCTAAACTGCAATTTTTGACAGTGCAATTTAAAATTTATATACAGTTTTCCGGTAATTGATACAGTTACACATAACTCGTGTTTATAAGATAGTTCGTTTTATAGACACGACATTCATTGACTGTACTTACTTACAATCATCGGTGGAAGTTTTTGATTGATTTGTCGATTTAAAAAAATGTTTTTAATTTGGTATTTCTAATTTTACAAGTTTCCACATTAGGTATACCTATACCCACTTAATGAAAATCAAATAATAAACATTAATTAAGAATATCTTTTTATTTCATTATTTAATCAAGCGCTTAATTTAAGCCATTTTATTAACCTATTTTCCAGATTCAATTGGCATGTAATAGAAAAGCAAAACTTTTGCACGTGAACAATGTTTTTTAGTTTACTCTTTCAGGTAGAAGAAGAGTATTAATTTAAAAAAGTATTTGTGATAAGTTTTCTGGACTTTTTGACAAAAGATACACAATGAAGACTATTATTGTATGTTGTTTTATGCTTTGTATACTGATTAGCAGTATTATTCTCGCTGACGGTAAGAACTAATATGGAAAAATAATTTTTCAAACTAAAAATTAGAAAAGTATACATTTATCAGCAAACGTCACAAAAGCGATCTTTTTATCACAAGTAAAAGTTTTACCTTTTAGGCAAGGAGTAAAGTTTCTGTTTTTTCGCTTAAGCATTTTTACTTTTACCATTGTTACATTTACCATTGTTGTGTCTTCTTTGTCTCTTTGTCTGTTTCAGCAATTTCTGGAGAGGTACAACATACATTGTAGATCATCATCATTCGATATTTTGCACTGATAACTGCACTAGTCATCCACTAGTTAAATCAATAAACATTTTCGAAAATCTCAACACAAATTCCGATACTGACGCGCGACGTTTGTTGCAAAGCCTCTCGATTATTTTGTTCATTTACTTGCTAATTAAATTGTTGCTTTTTAGTCTAGATTTGAATACGTTCGCGGATAAAATAGTACTTATATGTTATTTAGAGTGAAAGTGAGTTTATGTGGCTCAGCTGAATTATTTGCCTCACTTATTTAAATTTAATAAAATTAATGTTAGTAAGTTAGTAAAATATAGTACAATCTATATTCGTATTGTAAAGCACTCCGCTGTGTTTCGTGTTTTAAAAACACACGTTGTAAAATGTAACACCAACGGTGATACGACTTTAGTAAAATAAAGAAAACTAAAAACTATTACAGCTCAGTGGTGCATCCAGGGTGAGAAGAAGAAAATCGACTGCAACTTTTGCCATTGTAACTTCGGTCGGTGGGTGTGCACAAGGAGAGCTTGCTTACCAGACGAAATAACAGGTATAGAGAATAAATTACACTTAAATAAATTTAAATCATAACACAAATAAATTGTTCGAACTAATTTTCTTAAAATCGATATTCTATTGGTAAATAAAATAAAATAAATATTATTATTTTTAATACCTTATTATTATCAACACTTTGAAGATGGTTTTTCGGTAGACCACTATGGCAACAATCCGACAGAGGGTGAGTTCGTAATTTGTTTTGACGTTTGAAAGATTTTTGTATCATAAAAAATAAATGTTCAGACAGATGCAAACAAGGTGAGAGGAAAATGAAAAAGTGCAACAGGTGTCACTGCTCCAGAGATAATGTGTGGGTATGCACAAAGATGTTTTGCTATGAAGATGATCCATGAAGTGAGTAAAGACACAAATATTTTAAATTGCAGATATTTTTTCTTGTAGACAAAAGGGATTAATATTAATAGTAGGTTTAGCAAATATTTTATTTTTTTATAGTTCTAATTATTTGTTTTAAATTGTATTTATCAAACCGGAACTCTAGGTATGTTCCTGTGTACAAACAATATAATATAATATAATAT